TTTGCTTTAATTGGGTATATCATAACCGAAGGCTGTTACAAATCTCCTTTCAAAACAGCTAATTATAAACTGAAATAGTTCGTTAAATTATTATCGCGAAAGCGGTATGCAAATACACCTAATTAACGCTACCCGGAACACGGAATAAACATGTCAGTGTTTCCTTTTTGACCAATATTCCCATGAGGCTTTGATGGCCATTTCAATCAAATTGGAAAACAGACGTTGTAAATAATCATAGTTTTTATAAATCTCAACCAGCAGGGGGCACACTAGTTGGCTGTATACAAAGTAAGTCAAAGAATCGGCCTTAGGGCAAAACGAGAACAAATCCAGCTTGCACCCGGGACCACCAGATAACTAGTTCAGCACACTCACCACACTGCCTCAAACATCGAAGAAGCAATGCCAATATGCTTCGTCCTATAGTTCACTCTGTAACGGATTCCCCTTTTTATTCTTACCAGCCCATAGAACAGTTCTTGTAGAAATTAGTTGCAATTATCAATTTGTCATGAAATTACTCGGATTACGACAGTAACATTTATGAAATCGTATGTAGGTGTTTGTAATATATTATATAATTAGTAATACGGAAATCCGTTTTAATCGGGTTCCTATCTTACAGTTACCAAATTGGTTATAAAAGTTTCATGTTATGAGAGGGATTATATTCTTGATTCTTTCTGGATTGCTTCATCTTCAGGTGATAAGACGGCATCTGATGTTTTGATGGCGAGACTTGAAGGCAACTGGCTGCTTTTTCTACTGACGATCCTAGTAAATGCCATATTTATCTTGGTGCTCAGAAAAATGTACAGCCATGGGTTAACGGCACTGTTAGCGTGTCCAAACCAGAAACACACAAAGCTGACAATCGGCTGTATATGTAGGTAAGTCTTTGATGCGTGAATGACGTTCATCATGTGGACCACTTGTGGTGGGAGCCAACAAAGGGCAAAGGCACAGGTAACAATAATGAGCATCCGAACCACTCTTTTCTTGGAGGTTTCGAGTTGCACTCGATTTCCTCTAAAAGTAGTCACTCCAGGTGCAACATGGAACCATAAATTCCATGCAGTAATGGAATACAGGAAAGAAATAACGACCAAGGGAATGAGATAGTTGACGACGAAAAGGAGGAGGTATATTCCTCGAAGAGCCCTATCTGGATCACCCAAGATGTAAACAGATAGCATGCATCGGGAATTGTGGTCCTCCACGGTTTGAACAACGAGAAAAATGGACATGGAGACCAGTGACCCGATCCAAATAAATGGAACGGTTAGCTTAGGCTTTCGAAACCAAAGATGGCGGCGGAGGGGATGAACGATGGCATAGTAC